TTCTGTATCCTTAGAATAGTCAACATATCTATACCGGTCTCTACCCTCGGTACAGTCGCGTACTTAACGTATCGTTGTAACTAAGTCTTACATAACATGGTTGGAGTGAATTGTGATTTATGTTAATTCAGTGTGTGTTACATTGTGATTGCTGAATTCATAATAAAGTTTAATTAAAACAAAGTTAATAGTTGTGTTACGACTCAGCTACTTTTTATTTTCATCAACTAACCCCAAAAATTACGTGACAGTGGCATCGTCTGGACGGAAAGTCATTCTTTCTTGCGGTCCCATCGACGAATACAGTAACACCTTACGACCAGTGAATATTATGCGTCCGACTTGGATTTTGTGAGCACGTTCATCTATCATCCCGTCGACCGCGGATTCGTTATTGAACCTAGGATCATTGTCATTAGTTTCTCGAGTATCTAATTACCACGGTTACTTGTCCGGTTCTATAATCGTATTTGCACTAGCCAATGTCTTCTCTGTTGCATAACGACAACGTGTAATCCACTTGCGCTAGTCAATGTCTTCTCTATTGCATAATGATAACGTGTAATCCAAACGAAGATTTGTTTCATGCCCTTAACCTGACTAATTCTAATGTAAACCCGACATATATATATTTTCTATTTGACCTATTCAGGGAGAATTTCTCAGTTTGATGTCCTTGAGAACCTAATTCAAGGATATGGAAATCGATGTGATGGCAACTATTCGGTGACTCGACCGAGAATTAACAATCTAATAGTTCCAGCTGATGGCCTAATAGTTTCAATGAACGAAGATGCTATAACGAAGTATATACCTGTAATTGGGACCTTACTATTACGCTATGTGCAGAGAGCGTGAGGCAGACCCACGAGGCAGCCTCCTCCGACAATTGCTTCGCTCGAGTTTCCTTTTGTCGACTCAGTCACGTAGTAGGCGAAGCAGGATGAACCACAATTAAGATTTCGATAAAATTCTTCTAAACGAAGCTAGTGACAGACTGTGATTTTGATCTTGCCAAAATCCAACAATAGTTGGCTCGTCCTGAGGCAGGTACCCATATCTGTCTCGCACTGTATTGTACACACTTTTGGATTGTCAGTCACTATCTTCCTTTTTTTGTCATTTGTAATCAATCATTGTCATTTGTAATCTAATACTTTAGGTTCCAATTACAAGTATACGTAGTTTGTTGTAAGATGTTTGCTCGTTACGGTATTATGATTTTCTTGGTTACAATAAACGAATACTATACGCGTACTGTAATGAATAGTTCTTACGACTGTGAATCCTAAAAAGTTGTATCAAAGGATTGGAAACATATGATATATAAAACGGAAAATTCTTAGTTGTACAATGATGTGTGAAAATGAATATAAGACGAAGATAAATACTAAGATAAAAAAATCAAATATTTTATACGTTAAAACGCACGATTACTCGTGTTTGATAATTCATTAGCATGCATTTGCATGGATTCAATATTCATCAATATTTTATACATAATTTTGCGTAATAAATACCTACGATAAATTCTTCAAATCTGTTGTGATACTTCTAATACATATTTCACGTTTTTATTTAAATCGTTTAACTAAATTAGATAATTGTGCTATCGTATTGTAAAATTATCGATTAATATTCGTTTCCATCATAATAACAAAACGTAAATTAATTATGTTAATATTTGTTTGAAATGTTATGTAAACACATCTTTGATCGTAGTTCCATGTGGAATTACATTAGCATACTAAGTGTGTTCTGCACGTGCCACTCACAATTAGATTTCATTCATTTACATTTCTGTGGTATTAGAACGCTTAAGTTTTGCTTTGGGTAAAAGTGAAAACAGAAAGGATCGTCGTCATAATATATTCTTAATATACGAAATGACCTTTGCGTCCATCTTATTGTTTCCTAACATGACGCGATTAATTTGAGATTTCATAGACGTCAGGAAAAATGAAATATTGCGTCAAACATCGTGTTGAATACTTGGATTAAATTTGTTAAGTCAATCTTTTAAAGCCGCTTGTCTTACCATGTCTATTTATAGAATATCCTTTATTTCATAATAAAGCATATGTTAATATGTCAAAGTTGTTCGTCAATAAAAAGTATTTATGTCGCGAGAGATCTAAATTTGTCACGAATATTAAATAAAATAATAATAAAGTATCTAAATACCTAAAGAAAAATAACAATAAAGTAGAATTACCTTTAACACATTCGCCGTGGTACGGATTTCGACTGACTTTTCCTTCACACTGATAATATGCATCATCTCAACCCTTAATTGTCATAGTATCATAGATGAAGTTTTATTTTATCATCTCGTAATAATACTATTGCAATGTTATTCGTAACTGTTCCAGACAATAATTCTTCCATCTTTTATTTCATGTCGAACAATAATTATTTAATTGCCTGACTTCATGGATGTGCCAAATGAAAAGAGATACATCGCGGTGAATCTTCAGCCGCGATATCATAAACGTGTTGAGTCTCTTTAATAACAGGCTTCTAAAGAATTAATTTCATGCTATTACGCGTTGCATATATTCTTATACATACGCTTATTACTTATCGTATGAAACGTTCAAATACTTTAGTGGGCCAGTGTATAACAAATATTATCGTGCTCAAAGATGTTATTCGAATGAATTGTTATGACGAAAGTATAAAATGGGGTGCAAGTTGGCTGATTGCCCGCTGTCTCCCTACAATCTGCCCCTGTATTCAATCACGCTCTAATAAACCAATATGTGCACGAGCTGCTTCGGAGCAATTTTCAGTGATCAATGAACCGACTATGAAAATGTCACCCGCGCTATATACTCTCTATACATATGTATATGTTATAAATAAATTTCTCTAAGCGACTTATCTCTTTCTGGGACAAGCGTTGATCTGTTCGACTTACGATCTCAGTCCTCCCGCCAAAAGGTTCGTCATCCTCCTCACCCTGTAGCCAGGACCTTCCAGGATATTCTTAGCGTCCTACGCGCGCCGTGGCGGATCATGACGTTGGATCATTGGCAAATTTCCTGCGAATTAATTAGGAGGACATGTAGTTTTTTATCGTCATCCTATGAACATCCGTGACTCTTCCGAATTCGTCGCACGAAATTATAACATCCGCGACTCTTGGGCTATTTTAGATACTTACACTGCGTACAGACAATACGAGGCTGCCTCGTGAAACGTAGCTGGCACGTGTCTAATTAACGACTGTTGATTCTTTGCGAGATCAAAGTTGCCTCTTTGTCGCTTTTCACTCTCTGTCATAATCGTAGTTGCCTCTTGTACTCTACGTCAGTCTACAAGTTTGAAGTCGGTTCAAAGAAACGACGTGGTGGATGTAAATAGGTACACGAGCTCGAAACATGGACAGCACAGGGCCGACACTTTGTTCTTAACCCCTTAATCTGCCATGTCGTGTTAGAGATATGGCAGGTGGATCGGGCTAAACATAAACAATACGTGCATGAAACTTTGTACGTTTTTCGGCCTACATGCGACAAAAGCTTTTTTTTGGCTGTATATTTCCATGAAAAATATTAGAAACTTCTTCGAGAAGAATGTTAAGCGTTGTTGAGTAAAGTAAAGTGGCAACTTTAAATCAGTTAGTTAGGTGAAAACAAAAAAGAATTGGACATCTTTAATATAATATTTGATAATATATTTTGGGAAAATATTGTCACGCTGACGAATCCATACGCAAATCAAATAACGAACAATAAAAATAAAATATTATTTAATTAAAATGAAATATTATTTATTATTCACTTCGAGATAATAAATTTTTCTTATTCAATTGGCAGTAATTACAATTGAAATTGTACCTTACACATTAAAGGAACGGTGCGATTTGCACAGCTTCGAAGGCTCAGCTAGACCGTAAAATGCCTCGAAGTCTGGCCAATCCTGCGGTTGGTTACGGCACGTGCTGTTGGAGCTTAAATCATAAGACAAAGAGTTAACGAAATATCCATTAGGCTGGACTAAGGGTCCGCTACAAATTTGTCTCTGAATGTCCATACTTAACGTCAAATAAATAACAAATAATAGCTGCCGCTGTAGCATTAGATCACATGAATATCACGCAATCTTTTTGTTTATACGCGCTTCTTCACTCGTCTTGATTAACCGGTTATACGTTAAGACAAGCGGCAGTTCGAGCAAAATAGTTTCGTGGTATTTGTACGTAAGGTAGGTTTTAAAATTCTTTGTCAAGCTCGAGCTTGTGCATATCGATAGTCTAATGGCTCTCAGAGACCTTGACACGTATCACCTCTGTAAAGGATGCGTGCTACTCGCCATTCGTTTCCTATATTTTCTTTTTCCTTTTTCAGAAAGAAGAAGTATAATGTTTCCACGTTTCGAAGAAAACAGAGTTTAACACCACATAGCTTTAAGTTAGACAAACGTTAGTAGGCGTGTAATTGACTTTTTAAATCCGATCTTGCGCAACAGGAGACTTCATGCAAAAATCCATTACATTTTCCATTACAGACTTTTCGCGCGTAGGATAATCATCTGTCAATCGTTTTTCCTTTGATGAGAAATTAGTCAAACATGCGTATACTTGACGAGTTTCCAGATTCAGTATTTCAATTCTATTGACGATCTCTTCTGATTGACGTTTTCGATAAACTGCGGCATTGCATAACGACCATCGTTTTTGATTAATACGAAACCGTTTGAACGAAAAGGAAACATTCTTGATATTTCTGTTCCTCTATTTGGAAGGTTGAAGTAAGGATGAAATGACGCTACGATGCTACCTTTAGCTATATGTATGTATATGTACCATACATATTTTTAAAAACACAGAGTATTTGTTCGTCCGCGATATGCCCGCATAAGCGCAACGAAAATTTTCGTCTGACAACACCTCAAAATGAAATTATGATCTATTTAATCCTAAACTCGGGCATTCGAGCGCTTTTTAGCGAAAATGAAGAAGAAAAGCCGCCCGGTTTGAATGTTTTAGAAGGAAAATACTCTTATCGTATTTTCCTGCGTCATATACGTCATAATCTCATCATGTATGTGTTTTAGCTCTATTTTTCGTGCGTTCTAAAATCACGGAAAAATCGCCGAGATACACTCCTCGCCAAAGAGATAGCCCATGTGAACTATCTTTAATTTCTCAATGACGCATGTAAAGTTCTTCGTCTGCAATATATAATATCAAATCATTATGAGCTCAGCATATGCGGCTTGCTAGGAATAAGTCGCAATGTCGGAGATGTTTTTATGCAACCAAGGAAAATTATTCCAAACTAAGGTCGAAATGGTAGCACACTCTGTTAATATGTTTAGAAATTTCTCAGTAGTTCATGATCTATCAACGAGAAAAAATTACAGTATATATATATATATATA